TATGAATATTTCACTAGAACTACATTTTTTCTATTGAATAAGTGCAAGAAACCACCCATTTACCATTTTCAACTATCCAATACAGTGGTCAGAATTTAGCAATTTTGCCAATTTCACACAAATTTCAAAAAATGCCAATTTCCGAATAGGGTCCAGAACAAACAAGAAATACATTCCTGGCACTAAAATGACATTTCCTCTGTTCATTAGTCATGTCCCCATGCCCCTCTTACATTCTTTTGCTTTCCACTTTGAATTTTTATTCTCACAAAAAATAGAAGAGTTACTGTTATGCAGATTACTGCATTAGTGTAAAAAATGGTATAAATCATATTGGCGCACTTGCAAAAGAATATTAGACTCACCAGTTGACGTGTATTGGACGCTTGGCATGATTTGTTTACTTTTGAACTTTGGTAAAAATTGAACATTTCTGCTACTTTGAGCTCAATTTCAAGGTACTTTTCATTGTAAAACCAGTCAAAATCATCTCAATTTCTGTGATATGCCTTCCATACTATAAAATGAGACCAAGAAAACTAGAATACAACAATAAATACCATATGAAAATACAGTGCAAAGTCGCTGTTGTATTCCAAAAAAACAAAGTTTTTTTTTTTCTCATTATGCACTGTGTGCTGCAGGATTTTTTTATACCGTGCACACTGACCACATAGACCCATTCTTTCATATGGAGGCCTACCAGCCTTTTCCCACGAGATTTGACGGCGCTAGAATTTATGCGTACTAGTACGTCAAAAACCCCTGCGCGTAAGACGTACTAGTACGTCCGAAACCCTCAAAGGGTTAACAAGTCACTATGTGACTTGTTTCAGGTCCTAAATGTGTGGTATTTGTTTACTGTTTCAGCCACAATATTGTGACATTTTATTCTTAATGTGGATTTTAAAATCACAATTCCACACAATTCCCTTTATATAAAGGGAAGGGGGGCAAAAGAGATTGTAAAAATTATAGAGGAATAAGTTTGCTGAGTATACCACGAAAAGTGTACGGTAGGGTTATAACTGAAAGAATTAGAGGTAAGACAGAATGTAGGATTGCGGATGAGCAAGGAGGTTTTAGAGTAGGTAGGGGATGTGTAGATCAAGTGTTTACATTGAAGCATATATGTGAACAGTATTTAGATAAAGGTAGGGAAGTTTTCATTGCATTTATGGATTTAAAAACGGCATATAATAGAGTGGACAGGGGAGCAATGTGGCAGATGTTCCAAGTACAGTGGACCCCCGCATAACGATTACCTCCAAATGTGACCAATTATGTAACTGTATTTATGTAAGTGCGTTTGTATGTGTATGTTTGGGGGTCTGAAATGGACTAATCTACTTCACAATATTTCTTATGGGAACAAATTCGGTCAGTACTGGCACCTGAACATAATTCTGGAGTGAAAAAATATCGTTAACCGGGGGTCCACTGTATATTGAATAGGTGGTAAGTTACTAAATGGTGTAAAGAGTTTTTATGAAGATAGTGAGGCTCAGGTTAGGGTGTGTAGAAGAGAGGGAGACTACTTCCCAGTAAAAGTAGGTCTTAGAGATGTGTAATGTCACCATGGTTGTTTAATATATTTATAGATGGGGTTGTAAAAGAAGTAAATGCTAGGGTGCTCGGGAGAGGGGTGGGATTAAATTATGGGGAATCAAATACAAAATGGGAATTGACACAGTTGCTTTTTGCTGATGATACTGTGCTTATGGGAGATTCTAAAGAAAATTGCAAAGTTTAGTGGACGAGTTTGGGAGTGTGTATAAAGGTAGAAAGTTTAAAGTGAACATAGAAAAGAGCAAGGTGATGAGGGTATCAAATGATTTAGATAAAGAAAAATTGGATATCAAATTGGGGAGGAGGAATATGGAATAAGTGAATTTTTTCAGATACTTGGGAGTTGAAGTGTCGGCGAATGGATTTATGAAGGATAAGGTTAATCATAGAACTGATGGGAGAAAAAAGGTGAGTGGTGCATTGAGGTATATGTGGAGACAAAAAACATTATCTATGGAGGCAAAGAAGGGAATGTATGAAAGTATAGTAGTACCAACACTCTCATATGGGTGTGAAGCTTGGGTTGTGAATGCAGCAGCGAGGAGGCGGTTGGAGGCAGTGGAGATGTCTTGTCTAAGGGCAATGTGTGGTGTAAATATTATGCAGAAAATTTGAGTGTGGAAATTAGGAGGTGTGGAGTTAATAAAAGTATTAGTCAGAGGGCTGAAGAGGGGTTGTTGAGGTGGTTTAGTCATTTAGAGAAAATGGATCAAAGTAGAATGACATGGAGAGCATTTAAATCTTTAGGAGAAGGAAGGCGGGGTAGGGGTTGTCCTCGAAAAGGTTGGAAGCAAGGGGTAAGGGAGGTTTTGTGGGCGAGGAGTTTGGACTTCCAGCAGGCGTGCATGAGCGTGTTAGATTGGAATGAATGGAGACGAATGGTATTTGGGACCTGGCGATCTGTTGGAGTGTGAGCAGGGTAATATTTAGTGAAGGGATTCAAGGAAACCGGTTATTTTTATATAGCCGGACTTGAGTCCTGGAAATGGGAAGTACAATGCCTGCACTCTAAAGGAGGGGTTCGGGATATTGGCAGTTTAGAGGGATATGTTGTGTATCTTTATACGTATATGCTTCTAAGCTGTTGTGTTCTGAGCACCTCTGCAAAAACAGTCATTATATGTGAGTGAGGTGAAAGAGTTGAATGATGATGAAAGTATTTTCTTTTTGGGGATTTTCTTTCTTTTTGGGTCACCCTGCCTCAGTGGGAGACGGCCGACTTGTTAAAAAAAAAGAAAAAAGAAAAAAAAAAATTCCACACACCAACATGAGCAGCAAGTCCTTAAAAAGCACCTGGACACCATCCCACATTGTTTTATTATTCACCCTCCCATGTTTTATTATTCACCCTCCCATGTTTTATTATTCACCCTCCCACATTGTTTTATTATTCACCCTCCCACGTTGTTTTATTATTCACCCTCCCACGTTTTATTATTCACCCTCCCATGTTATTTTATTATTCACCCTCCCACGTTGTTTTATTATTCACCCTCCCATGTTTTATTATTCACCCTCCCATGTTTTATTTTTCACCCTCCCATGTTATTTTATTATTCACCCTTCCACGTTGTTTTATTATTCATCCTCCCATGTTGCTTTATTATTCACCCTCCCACATTTTATTATTCACTCTCCCATGCTGTTTTATTATGCATTCTCCCATGATTTATTATTCATTCTTCCACACTGATTTATCATTTTTCTTCGTAATTCCTTTATGAAATTCATTTCTCTCTTATGTATGTACATTTGGTGCAGGCATAATGGATCTTATTGTTTCATTTGGTAAAGAAAAGTGGAATTCATAATTACAATTATGTGCACACTAATATCTAAAACCTAATATTATTTTTGCCCATACATTTCTTCACTTCATTTTATGCAATTTTAGGTCATACTCCAATTCTTAACCCTTTCAGGGTCCAGACCCCTGATCCAAAACTTGTCCACAGAGTCCAAGAATTTTCCAAACAAAATTTTTTATTTTTTCTTGTGAAATGATAAAAAATCTTTTTCTGATAGTAATAAAACAAAAAGTACAAAATTTGATGAAAAACTGATGAAATTATGCTATTGCAATATTTATGCATAGGCAATTTTTCCCACTTAAGACTCCTATTTTAGGCCAATTACTCTGTTCCAATTGACCAAATTCTTAGCTTTTTATTTAATGACTGAGCACAAAAAAAAAATGCCCAATCAACTATTTCAGCTACCCAATAGTGATCAGAAATTGGTGATTTGGCCAATTTCATCCAAATTTCAAAATATTTCAATTTCAAAATAGGGTATAGAATAAACAATGCAGGCATTCCTGGCACTGAAATAACATTTCCTCTGTTCCTTAGTTACATTTCCAGGCTTTACACATGAATTCCATTTTGATTTTTTTATTCACACCAAAAACTAAAAGATTTTCTGTTATGCAATATTGTAATAATTGTATAAATAACATCAGCGCATTCATGAATGCATATCAGGCCCACCAGCTGATGTGTATTGGACACGTGATGTGATTTGTTTACTCTTGAACATCACCAAAAATCGAACTTTTCCACTACTTTGAGCTATATTTCAAGCTATTTTCAGCTCTGAAACAAATCAAAATCATCTCTATATCAGTAATATCTTCCATGCTATCAAATGAGACCAAGAAACCATGAATACAACCATGAAAACCATAAGAAAATACACCACAAAGTTGCAGCTTTTTTTTCTCATTATTCACTGCATGTTGCAGGAATTTTTTTATATGATGAACACTTACCACATGGATGCATATTCTCATATCTAGACCCAAATTTACTACTCACAGCTTATCTAAGTGAGCTGAGCTCATGGCATAGAACTACAGCAAGGACCCTCAAAGGGTTAATAACATGACCTCTGCATTATAAAACATTTTAGTGAAGTCATTTTATGCTTGAATTTACATGTAAGGCTATGGGAAAAACACTGACTTTACCTCAGGAAGCAAATACAAATGAGAAAGAAGGAAAGAAACAAAAAGGCATGGGCACATGGCTCTATCTCCAACATTACATTAGCACAGGTGGAAAATTCACATGAACAATTTGCTTTATCAAACTTCATAAACAAAACCTTGATTGAAAAGCAGTAGGTAGCAGATTACCAGACAGCAATTACCCAGGAAGGTGCTAGCATCCTGTCACATGAGAAGTGAAATGGAAGCTTGTTAAAGATGAGATGTAAGATGAGAGGAATTTCTTACCTCTACTTACATTCAGTACATATATATATCTTTAATATGTTGCATTTCTAAGCAAACCTGCAATATTTCCTATCCCCTTTAAGAGGGCTCCTAGTCAGAGAGAGTCAAGAGGACAACGACTCCTTGAACCATTGACAAAATAATTCAAAACAAGTAACATATGTATGTTAATACAAGCAGCACTTTTAAATTTTACCTGTGGATTGTGCCAAAATAGTTTTATGAATCTGTTGTTGAGCACAGCCTCAGTACTACGATAAGCAGCGTTGGCCTCAGAGTGGCTATTGAAAGTTACTAAAGCATTTTCTGGGTTCCCTTCATGGTGAACCTGTTACAGAAAAGAAACTTTTTAGTTAAAAAATTGAACTTTAAAACACAAAATTCAAAGAAAGACAAATCAAATATAATATTAAACCCATGTACAATGCTGGCAGTATAACATCCCCTAAATAAGTGTTTAAACCCAGTATCATGTCCTAATTAGGTATTCAATTATTAACCCCTAAATTGTGACCAACATACTAGCACACAGGTGACAAGAATGTGTCAAAAATACCAGCTATAAGCTACCGAATATAAGAGGGAGACACTTTCAGTCCTCATGGATGGGAGTAAATCAGTGTTTTCATATCCAATGAGGAAACTAATGATAATGCTTATATATAAATTGTTTATCACCATGGGATTCACAGACCTAAACACAGATGTAGGTGTGTTCTGAATAAGTCAACCTATGCAACATTTTCAAATTCTCCAAATTATCAAGGCTAAAATACAAAGATAATGAAGATGATGTTTATAAATAAATTGATTAACACTTCAGGAGTCACAGATTCCTGCTGCGAGTAGGTGAGGAGGGCACACCAACAGTGCTGTCATATTCCATATTTTTAATTTAAATTTTAAGTCGAGCGTATTAGATAGGAGTGGAGACAAATGATGTTTCGGACTTGACGAGCTTCTGGAGTATGAGCACGGTAATATTTTGTGAAGGGAATCAGGGAAACCAGTAAGCCAGACTTGAGTCCTGGAGGTGGGAAGTACAATGCCTGCACTTCAAAGGGGTTTGGGGTATTTGCTGTTTAGAGTGACATCAAAACTGTCGTATCTGTGAGCCCTGCAAAGACAGTGAGTGTGAATGATTGTGAAAGTGTTTCTTTTTTTTGGGGTCATCCTGCCTCAATGGGAGATAGCCAGTGTTAAAAAAAATAAAAAAATAGTGATATGTCCCTCCAATTATAATCAACACTGCAGTGTCATTGATATACTCTGAGTATTTTGTCTGTTAACATCATATTTTCCCTGGTTCTTCCATTCTCCCATGTCTTTGCATTAAATTCTATTAATCTCTTCTTGTAGCTCATGCTCCTTAGCTCAGGAACAAGCCTCGCTACATCTGCCTTCTCTCCAGTTTCTTAACATTCTTTTTTCAGGAATGAGTTCTATACTGGTGTTATATACTAAAGATAGGCCTGAAATACATTGCATAAAGGGCCAAGAATCAATTCTGTCGAGATTCCTGTAAGTTTCTCTTAGATTTGCCAGATGGGCATTGGCTGCACAAGTCATTCAGCTGATGTTCAGTTATCTCTAGGTCCCTCTGATTGTAGTCCACAGACTGTACCCAGAGTATATACTCCATGTCCTGTCTTCTGGCCTTTTCCTCATTCTTCAAACCTTGCATTTGCTGAGGCCGAATTCAAGCAACCACTTATCTACCAATCTTGCAGTTTTTCAAGATCAATTTTGAGCCTTTCCCTTTTCTCGTTTGATTTTTGCCCCCTCATCATTTTTAGATCACATCTGTAAACAGGGATACATCTTATTCAATTCTATCCAGAATGTAATTAACCCTGCTACTTACTTTTCCCCATTCCAAAGTCTCTTCCCTGACAATCATTGTTTCCTTCCCCGATGGTACTCACTGACCCATAAGAGTACATTTGCTATTATTCCTGCATTCACGTATACAAACATGTGCATTAGTCTATTTGTGGCTGCAGGAGTTTAGTCTCAGCTCTTGATCCTGCCTCTCAACTTGCTACTTCCCAAATTCACTCTCTAACAGCCAGGCATTGTACTTCCCACCTCCAGGACTCAAGTCCAGCTAACCAGTTTACCTGAATCCCCTCACAAAATATTACCCTGCTCACACTCCAACAGTTTGTCAGGTCCCAAAAAATAATTTGTCTCCATCCACTCCTAACACGCTCACACATGCCTGCTTCATGTCCCAGCCCTTTGCATTGAAAATCTTTATAATTTTGGTCTTCTAATGCTATATACAAGGAATACTTATAATACTACAGTTGTTTAAGTGTGTAATATTCCTCAAAACATGGATATAAGTCACACTGTTTGACCTTACTGGGTTATCCTGTTTAAATATACTTAGTCTTCTTTGTGGCTGAATTTCACCATTAGTATTAAGAAACTGTAATAAATGAAGAATGAATTAGTCATCTTCATGCTACTTGCACATCCTGTTTGCTAGTGGGCAAGCTGGTGCTGCAACACCACCTTCTGATTTCACTGTTTACTTAAGTTAATCAGGTGTACTAGTACATCAGACACACAGTCTTCGTCTCTGTAATTAACCATGATACACTGTGTGAAACCCACTGGCCTTTAGATTTTTCAAAGTGTATGAATAGATTGAAGACCCAAAGAGCTGTGCTGAGGTCAAAAAACATTGGCAAGTGGCAGATTTGATGGTACGAAAAACTGTGCATACAGGTAGGCCCTGCTTTACAGTGAGTCACTATTACAGTGGCTTTCAATTATACCCATTTTTCATTTATTCAGACTTCCTACAATAAATATATTCACCACTTGGTATAAGCTAAAAACAAAAAATATTTTAAGTTATGTATGTACTATATATGCATTTTTTAGGCCTAGCTATGTTGCTTACTTAATAGCATATGATAACGTAAACATTCGCTTATAATTGAACCCCACATTGCAGCATCGCCTATAAACCTATAAAACATTGGTGGAAGCGGTGGTCGCAGCAAGTGTGTTTGCCCGGGGAGAGGAAGGAAGAGGAATGAAGTCATCTTCACTTCATCACCCCACACAAGAAGCATCCATCTCTCAACGAGATGTCCTGATGTCATGCCTGCACGTTCCAGCATCCAGACAGGTGCACGCAGGATCTAGCCGAAATCTTCTGAATTTCTTCAAGAATTGTTAAGTGGCACGTCCCAGTGACTCCACGCCACAGTGCCCCACGCTGTTTCTCAAGTCACGTGTTCGGCATCACTTGTGTGTTCTGCTGTTGTTGTTCAGCTCAGCACGGCTATTTCAGTAAGTCAGAGGTGAGTTTTGTGGTGATTTCTGCATCCAGTGTGAGTGTCTCCCTGTGTCTGTGGGTGGGAGAGGAGGAGGAAGTGGCCGTTCCTCGCCATACGCTCACCCGCGCTCACCCTGCTGTGCACTCACACCTCACCGGCCTACCACCACACTCCACCACTATGTGCTCACTCCCTCTGCTGTGTTTTCTGCTGTTTTCCATGTGAATTCATTGCCAGAGCTGTGTATCCGAGTGCCCAAGGCCACTCGAAGCAACGTGGATCACCATGCCACGTGGATCACGAAGCCACGTGGGTTGTGGACGATGTCACGTGGATCTACAAGCCACGTGGCTTACCAAGCCAGACATCCTAGGCCACATGCTGTGGTCTGCTGCCGCATCACATTGACATCACTCCTATGATGCCACCCACGATGCTACCCGACTTCATTGACATCACCCACGATGCTGCCCGACTTCACAACGTCATCGACAATGCTGCCCGACTTCACGACGTCATCCACAATGCTGCCCGACTTCATGACGTCACGATGTCTCCCTGACGTCACCTTGAGACATCTGCTGATGTACATCTGCTGACGTCACTTCACGGCATCACGCCTGACATCACACGATGTCACATTGAATGTTCTAGTAATTATTTCAGTATTGTCGAGAAGATTGACAGAAGATATATTTTTTATTTATTATCACACTGGCTGATTCCCCCCAAGGCAGGGTGGCCAAAAAAAGAAAAACTTTCACCATCATTCACTCCATCACTGTCTTGCCAGAAGGGTGCTTTACACTACAGTTTTTAAACTGCAACATTAACACCCCTCCTTCAGAGTGCAGGCACTGTACTTCCCATCTCCAGGACTCAAGTCCGGCCTGCCGGTTTCCCTGAACCCCTTCATAAATGTTACTTTTCTCACACTCCAACAGCACGTCAAGTATTAAAAACCATTTGTCTCCATTCACTCCTATCAAACACGCTCACGCATGCCTGCCTGCTGGAAGTCCAAGCCCCTCGCACACAAAACCTCCTTTACCCCCTCCCTCCAACCTTTCCTAGGCTGACCCCTACCCCGCCTTCCTTCCACTACAGACTGATACACTCTTGAAGTCATTCTGTTTCGCTCCATTCTCTCTACATGTCCGAACCACCTCAACAACCCTTCCTCAGCCCTCTGGACAACAGTTTTGGTAATCCCGCACCTCCTCCTAACTTCCAAACTACAAATTCTCTGCATTATATTCACACCACACATTGCCCTCAGACATGACATCTCCACTGCCTCCAGCCTTCTCCTCGCTGCAACATTCATCACCCATGCTTCACACCCATATAAGAGCGTTGGTAAAACTGTACTCTCATATATTCCCCTCCTTGCCTCCAAGGACAAAGTTCTTTGTCTTCACAGACTCCTAAGTGCACCGCTCACCCTTTTCCCCTCATCAATTCTATGATTCACCTCATCTTTCATAGACCCATCCGCTGAAACGTCCACTCCCAAATATCTGAATACATTCACCTCCTCCATACTCTCTCCTTCCAATCTGATATCCAATCTTTCATCACCTAATCTTTTTATCCTCATAACCTTACTCTTTCCTGTATTCACTTTTAATTTTCTTCTTTTGCACACCCTACCAAATTCATCCACCAACCTCTGCAACTTCTCTTCAGAATCTCCGAAGAGTACAGTATCATCAGCAAAGAGCAACTGTGACAACTCCCACTTTATGTGTGATTCTTTATCTTTTAACTCCACGCCTCTTGCCAAGACCCTCGCATTTACTTCTCTTACAACCCCATCTATAAATATATTAAACAACCATGGTGACATCACACATCCTTGTCTAAGGCCTACTTCTACTGGGAAATAATTTCCCTCTTTCCTACATACTCTAACTTGAGCCTCACTATCCTCGTAAAAACTCTTCACTGCTTTCAGTAACCTACCTCCTACACCATACACGTGCAACATCTGCCACATTGCCCCCTATCCACCCTGTCATACGCCTTTTCC